CGCAGCAACTATCCACGACGGTTTGTATGTATGTATAACTCATAATCACAAGGTGATCGTAGAGGCATTAATCAGCGAGAGAATTGTGAATGATGTCTCTGAATCCAACTCTATCGTGTGCTGCATGAGAGAGAGCATGCAAGGGAAGACCCGTTCAACTTTTAATGTTAGAAATCCATGATGTCGCCGGCCTTCCTCTCGGTCGAGATCCAGGAGTTGATCCTTGCAGGAAGGGCTTGGAGAAAACGTCATGTCTCGTAACATGGCCAAACCACATCAACTTTCTTGACTTCGTTCGCTAGCCGCATCCTTGCTCCGATGATGTCATTGATTTCTTCCAGGATAGATTGGTTGGTACGCCGGTCGTGGTATGTTACTCCTAACAGTCGGCGGAAGCATTTCATCTCGAAGGATGAAATTCTTCTCATTGACGAGGCAGATAATGTCCAAGATTGGCATCCGTATAAAACAGTCGCTAGCACAATAGACCTAACAAAACGAAATTTAGTAGGCAAAGAAAGTGATGGCGATTTCCAAATGAATTAAAGCTCAATGATGGTTTGCTTCTCTAGTGCTAAGCGTCTTCTTATCTCCACATCAGACTTGCCATCCGACGTGATTACGGCACCTAAGTATTTAAACTGGGATACCTCTTCTATTCGCTCATTGCCTACATGGATGCACCCCAGATCACCACTGCCCTCCGGCGCTGTCATTGACTTGGTCTTGGAAGCATTGATCTGCATGCCTAGTCTTGTTGCACTCGTATCCACGCGCTCGGTCAGGTCCATCAGCTCTTCCTCAGACGATGCAATTAGATCTATACCATCCACAAAACGTAGGTTGGTCACGCACATGCCGCCGATACATACTGACCCATCAAACTCCTCCAAAGCGTCAGACATGATGTACTCCAGGAATACGTTGAACAGACAAGGCGAGAGTAAACAGCCCTGCCTGACACCCACTGATGTGGTGAACCAGTCGGTGATAGTGGATCCAACAACGATGGCAGCTTCAGTAGTAGCGTAAAGCGCTTCAATCAGGTCCACAATTCTTGCTTCGATGCCATGCTCTCCCATAATCTTGAATAACGCTTTGTGCCAAACCCTATCAAAGGCCTTACGGAAATCGATGAAGCAATGATACACAGCCTGCTGATGGTCATGGTACTATTCAATTAACATTCTGAGGTTGAAGATTTGCTCCACTGTGCTTCTTCCCTTCCGGAACCCTGCTTGCTCGTCCGCCAGCAAACCCTCCACTTGCGGCTGCAGACGCTTCAGCAAGATCCTCAGTAGCACTTTGCTCGGATGACTGATGAGGCTCACTGTCCTGTATTTTTGGCACTGCCGAAGATCTCCAGACTTAGGGATGGGAACAAGAATGGACCTTGTCCATGATGTTCGCCATCTACCAATCGTCCAAGCGAGGTCACAACTCCTGTGCATAACAGCCACCAACGTATCTCCAACATGTCGCAAAAGCTCGCCAGGAATGTTATCGAACCCCGCTGATTTGTTGTTCTTGAGGGAGTTGATAGCGTATTCGACTTCGATATTCCGGGCCTTCTTCCACGACGGTAACGAGATGATAAACGATCAGAAAGTGCGATAATAGGGCAGACAACTGACAGGCTACTGAGACATTCAGCGACCCGAGACCTAGCTCTAACACATCTCCAGCAACAGCCTTCCAACTTGGAAGGTTCATGGTTACGTAGGACCGAAGAGGGGAAGATGACCGCAGCGAAAATGTGCGAGACATATTCCGGGCCTTGGTCCGCTCAGATTTGTAATGGTTAAGCTTGTCAGGAGTGGGGTTCTTCTTGCACTGGATGTGAGAGTCTCGATTGTGCTTTAACTGAATTCTTAGTGCCAGAGTGAGCCACGAGGGATTACTGGGTGACAGGGAAGATATATCTCGGCGTATGCTGCTGCCCACAGGTGCGTTTCAACGGCTTTGGCCACTGTGGGTGAGAGGCTCGCAGGTGAGAGAGAACAGACGTGTCAAGCTATACAATGCATTTATCACACCAATACTCCTGTAAAATTGCTCAACATGGGGAGTCCCAAGCAATGTCATCGAGCTATTGGAAGCATTCCACAGACGTCACATGGCCAGCATTCGAGGACATCTGGGAGTTGTAATTTTTGTACTCCTCCGAGGTGTGATTTTTGGCGTGCTGGGCCAAGCACAAGGAAGCCACCTGTCAAAAAAATGAAGAAAACGGTTTTTGTTTGATCCGTTGGTGTAATCTTTGTAGGTAGTCGAAGCAAGTTGCTGTTTGGAGCACAAACGCCGAAATTGACTTTGTTCTGCATGTACTCATGTACTCAGGCATGCAGTCTCACTCGTATTTTAGCTCTTTTTCTGGAATGTAACTGCTCTGCGCCCCTTGGTGAACATTTCCTGCGCTCGTGGAGCAGCTGAAAAGGACCACTGGTATGTATGGTTCCTGGTTTGAAAGTGGAGAGTCGACTGTTGTGTCTTGAAACAGGAGTAGCTTGTTTTGAGTGCTCCTCGTACATTTTTGATCATGATAGAAATTCTCAGACCAAAGTCAGATGACCGATCAGTTTTATTGTGGATTTTTTAGTAGTTTCGTCTCGTATCTATGTCAGTATGGTGATGTTGAAGTGAAGAGGGTGATTTTCTTCCTCTGGGCTTTGTTCGGCCGACTTTCCTTCGTCCTCGTTGAAAAGTGATGCTGAAAAAAGGTCGATTCGCAAAATTATGTTGATTTTGAATGTACGTGATGACATGCGATTGCTAGCTATGATTGCGAACAGTCGTCGGGATCAAGTACCCTCAAGTCATCAAAAATAACGAGCTGAATAAATGCACCAACTCCCAGCCCCTAGGGAAAACCATTGTGAGAGCGAGGTGGCGGTTCTTTTGGCCATGTCCTGAGACTAGACGACGATGTACCAGCACGCGTTATGATGGCAGCATACTTCGAAAACCCAAGTTCCGCTGCCACTGAGTCTGCATCAGGACCTGCAGCGTATCGGGGGTCACTCAAGAAACGTGAGCAACTTGAGAACGTCCATGCCATCGCCCAGTCATGACAAGACCGGAAAGACCTATGCAGCAATGTGATAAAAGCATACATCAAAGCCTAATACTGCTTCCACGTGTGGCAGCTGCATGGCTGTACGGTGTACTATAACATAACTCATTGACTAACATATTTTGTGAAAATATTATCCTGTAAAAGAATAGGAATGTAAACGATATACCTGTGAAAACACAACATTTAATGCTACTAACACAACCTGTGACTACAATAATCATGAGAACAACCCCAAAACATTTCTTGCAGTTTACTTTCGTAGAGTTTGCAACATTGTGTTCCTCAATACAACTTGCAGCTTTCTTCAAAAATATCCTCAACCTTGGTTCTGTTCTAGATTGTATATACATGCATTCATTGTTTCGTCTCATCATTATGGAGCAGCTTATGCGAAGGCTAGCCAAGCTTGCTTGGCGATGCCAACGCGGAAAAGCCTATAATAATAATAATAATAATAATAAGAATGCATGGCTCATGACAAGAAAGGTCCCGGGTTCGAGTCCTGGTGGGTCTAGCGTTTTTTTCTCTTTTCAGGCAGTTCACTTCCCCTACTGTTCCTTTGAATTTGAAGTTCTCCCAATCCTTTCATAAATAATAATAATAATAATAATAATAAGAAGGTGGTAAAACAGCGCAAAAAGAAAGAAAGAAAGAAAGAAGATAGCTAAAGTAAACAGCGAAAATTGCAATAATGACACAAAGGTGCAAATGCGAGAAAACTCAATAAGCGCGACATGTAGTGCGACAACAAGAGACAACCACTGGACATACATGTAACTAACGAGGTTTTGACGACCTACCTAACAGCCTAAGTGTGAATTTGATTTGTTTCTGCTTGCAAAGGTTGGGTTTCCTTGTGTGGATGTATACAGCTTCCAAAACATTCAGCAATCTAGCACAGCGTACACGTGACACAATCGAAAAACAATCATCCGAATACACAGCACGACAATCAGGATGCTCAAACAAATGACT